TAAATTACATCAACTAAACCATTATTTAGTACTCTTAATAGACTAATTAGTTGGTTTGTAGAATGGTAAATAAAATAATTATAATATTTGTATAATTATTTGTGTATTAATTATCTGTATATAATCAAAAAGCAATTCTTTTTGTAGATCACTTATACTAAAACTAAGAAAAAACATTTAATTATTTCTCAACTTTCTACTAAATAAACCTTACTTGGCTTCTTAAGTAAAGTTGTTTAGCACACTTTTCATCTCCTAGGTGGCTGTGTTTTAAGTTTCAAAAACACTTGGTTGCTAAGAAACATTTAAAAAACCAAGGATTTAGTTTTTGTTTATTTCTATAATATTTTACTAATTAAACATAACTTCTTATTTATTTAAAAGTTGTTCAGCTCATTGAGACAGATATTTTGATATATAATATATTAAAACAAACCAAAACTCACAAAGATACAAGCAAAAAATGAAAACAAAAACTTGCTTTTTGCAGGTTTTTTCATTGGCATTTTAGGAAATCTTATAAGGATGCCCTGAAATTTTACTTTTCTGATATTCATTAGAATTTCCTAAACATCCAATAAGCTTATATGAAGCTCACATATCTTTCCAAACTCTCCAACTAGTCTAGAAACTTTTAAATTAAACAAATTTTTTATAAAACATACTTAAAAATCTATTTTTAGAACAAAATGCTAATCTTGACAACAGTTGTACCTGATACCATTAATCTTGACTATTTTTACCAAAAGTGTTCTAAAAACTTTGATATTGGTATCCTTGAAAATGAGCTAATACATTATGCCCTATTTCTGCAAATAAGCAATTAAATAATTTTTCAACTACAGAACTTAGAGGAGAAACAAAAATTTGTCATTACTTTAAAGCATCTGAATCTAGCTTCATCATTACATGTTTTTGTGACAAGTTCCACACTTACTTTATCTCAACTACCAACCAAATTTACAAACAACATAAAGTCATTCCTATTAATAAAAAATCCAAAGATAAGAAATCTTTAGCAAACAATATTGCAAACTCTACTGAATTTATTTTACCATTACCTACAGCATCACCTTCACCTACTATACACAATTATTAATGTGATAAATGCAACTTGCCTATTGTCTGCAAAGATATAAATAACCAACATTATCTAGTGCAGATGCAATTCTATACAATGAAAAGCCTCATTACAAAACTTGTACAAATATTCAACTATCTATTTAATCATCAAGTTTTTCTTCTACATTTATTCAAAAACTCCAACAAATGATTAGTTCTTACAACCCACTAGTATCTGAACTTACTTTTATAATATCACTTGCAAGTAATTCTGGAAATCCAAATGCTATGGACTTGGACAACAATACAATTTACAGTAATAACTAACAATCATTACACTTAAATAAGCAATTACAACAACAACAACAACCAGATAAATAACAACAATAATTAGACAAATAATATCAACAATTAGACAAACACAACAACAGCACACAATTCAATACTAACAACAACCAACAAAAAACCAAAGCCAACCTAGCATTTGACTGGCTTGCAAATTTCTATGTAACTGAAGAAATAAATGACAAATCACAACTGCGAACAGACTTTGCCAAAAAAATCTTTAATTTTCTTAAACAACATTTATTCAACTTCAAACTCAGAACTAAATCAAACCTAAAATTGGTAATCGACCAGTTCTTAAAGCTAGCTTCCATCATATAATCTGCAAAATAGCAAGAGAAAGACCCCAATTTCTAGTTGAGTTTATTTAGAAAAATAATCCAAATACTAACAAAGCTATAACAATTCTTTTTGATGTACTTGAAAAAACTCTAATCTCATTATTTTTACTTATATCACTCATATCACTCTATAAAAAAGTTAGTCATCTTTAAATTTGAAGAAATAAAATCATCTAAACAAAATACATATATTTACTGTTTCATTTTGACAAAGAAATGTGTTTAAGCAGCAAAAATTTGATGGTAAGAAAAAAAAAATCTTAATTTTAAATAGAAATTTGGTTTATGCTATATAACCTAATTTGGACTAAAGTAGAACTGATACATATATATGTATCGATAAAATTAAACAAATATAATAAGTTACAATTGAGTTTTAAGATTTTAAATTTTGTTATAACATATTTAATAATTAAAATTTTATAATTCTAACAAAATCTTAGATCATGTTAAAAATTATAATAGACATAAAAAATATAAGATTTCTATTCAATTTAGTATAGTACTGGTTTTTCATAATCAAAATGCCAAAGCTTCAGATATTTAGATGATGTTCAAACTTTTTTACTGTCTCATTTTGATTTAAAAAGCTTTTAAAAAAAAGTTATAAAATGTTTTGAAACTGTTGATTTTGTTCATACTTTGCAAATCTTAAAAATCCACATGGCATTAATATAAGGTACAATATAATTTGGAAAGTTTAAGTTAAAAAGATGAAATTTTATAGTTAATTCAGTAGAATTTTACTAAGTTTTATATAGTCTGCTTACTAATAAATTACTAAACCTTCATAATCTATATGACTAAATCCACAGCTTTCAGACATTATTTTAGCAATTAAATTTTTTATATTCAATATACCTCAATATTTAAATTAGTCGACTCTAAAAGTTCTATGTACAATTAATGATTATTATTATAATGCTGTAAATTATACATAACTTAGAGTTTCATTTTCAAAGAAAAGTAAAATTTCTTTTACTTTTTATATGATCATTTACTAGAGTAATGGATGAAACCTTAATTTGATGATTGATTATATGTAACTATAATAACGTTAAAACCAATTTTAGGGCTTACACTATGCTTGTTAAAATTAGCTATCAGGTTGTATATAAATAGTTAATAAAAGGTTATTCTTATACTTTTAGTAATTTCAAACTCTGAATTTAAATTTTCTTTTTTTTAATTACTGTTGTATATTATGATTGCATAATTAACTTAATTTTTATTAGATTTACTTGTTTATAGAAAACAATAAGAATTAATAGTATTTTTTTTAGTAATGTTTTTTGCTTTAAAAATTTACATGTTTTGTGACTATTCACTAGTGATATCTATAAAAAAAATATAAATACCATAAGTTTTATATATAATTTATAATCTATACCCCTACCCTTAATAGTAAATATGATTCATCCCCTTTTTGTTCTCTGTTCTCACTATCAGTTTTTCTCTTTATTTATGAGAACTATCTACAAAAATCCATTTGCTCAGATAAAGGTACTATGAAAAGTAAACATTTATCAGAAAAAAGATCAAATGAATTTCTTAGCGTTAAACTTTAAATAAATACAACCTTTATCACTAAATCATTTTCTAAGTTATTCTTTTTTATTCTATATTTATATGAACGAAGAAACCATTCTATATTTAATCTGATAAAATTAAAAACATTCTTTCAAATTAATTTGTTTATTAATTCTGAAATTAACTGGTAATGAATAATTTTATTGAGATATTTAATTTTCAATTCAATAATTTTAATGTTACTGTCATCTTTAAAGAATTGGCACCATATATGGGCTAATAATAGATTGATTAAATTCAATTTTTTTAAAAGTCTTTCTATTTTCAAAGCAAAAATTCTTTTTTATTCTTAAACTTTTGCTTCTTTATGATGTTGCTTGAATGTTTCAAGTTTATAAAATTTGCTTGATCAATAATTGTTTTTAGAACTTTATTATCATTTCTAGTTTGTTTATTTTCTTTTTTAAGAAGCAAATATTCATTTCTGACTTGTTTATTTTCTTGTTTGAGAAGCAAACATTCATTTCTAACTCATTCATTCTCTTGCTTAAGGAGTAAATTTTCTTTTCTGATTTGTTCAATCTTTTTTAATGTAAAATTACTCGATTTATTAAGCTTTGTCTTAAGTAAACTGTTTTCTTCTTCCATTTAGAGATTATTGTTTTTCATTTTATTTGCATTATTCATTTCATTTATTAACTCTTTGATATATATTACATGAATAAATTCATTATCAGTTAGATATTCATTAAACATTTCTTGGGTGGATTCAGTTTTTGACAAATCAATAATTAAATAACAAATAAATAAAAATATTGTAAGATAAAAGATATTGAAGAAATCTATTTTGTAATATATTTTTGAAAAATGCAATTTTACATAGCCTAAAGGTACTTCTAACGATTTTAAATAAATTTATTGAAATCTAAACTCTGCATAGCTAATTCTCATATATAATAATTGTAAGAAACTTGTTAATAATTCAAAAAAAAAAATAGAAAATTTTTTACATTTACTTGAGATCTGATTTTTGCAAATGTGCATTATCTTACAGCATTTTAAGCTTAGCACATGAATTTTTTTTGTTATTATAAAAAAAAACTTGATTATTTAAAAAAAAATTTTTTTCTACATTTTCTCAAGACCTTGATTTTTTGCAAATGTGCATTATTATGCAGTATTTTTGAGGCTTAGCATGTGTATTAAAACACATCAGTTCTATTATCTTACCAATTCTAATTAAGTGATTAATTGAGTTTATAAATTTAACTTTAATTGTATAAATATATTAAAATTCAGAACTAAATTTATTTTAATTTAATAAATTCAGTATGAAACGAATTATCAGATTTAATTTAATATACATATCATCATATGTTAATAAATCGTAATTATTAGTAAATTATAACTGATCACATAATGCTATGCATTCATCTTGTATTATACAAAATTTGTTTAATATAAATCTATCATAGTTTAATATATATTAAATATATTGCCATTGATGGTTTTTTATAATTAAAAATATTATGCATTTATAAATAGAGAATAAAAAGTTCATTATTGAGTTTGTTATAAAAGGACTTTCTTAATCCAAAGTTAACTTTTCTGTATACCTGTTTTGTTTAAAAAAATTGTACCATTTTATCTAATAAATCTAAATAATAAACTGACAAATTGACATTAAATTTGATTTTCATACAAACTTATAACTTCACTAAAATGCCTAAACAAAGTAAAACTAATAGAATTCATACATACAGACATTCAAATAGATTTACTATTTCAATTGTAGGAAATATAAAGATGCCTATTAAATTAGAAAATTATAACAAAATACTACTATCTGTTAATTTTTCTAATATTGATTTTGCTACAATTTCACTGATACATTCTAATTATAAAACAACATTTGAACTTAAGCAAGTAAAATACGACAAAGCAAAAAAGATATTGACAGCTGAAAGTGAAAGTAGAAGAACAGAAGTGAATGAAAATGTTCAGTCTGATATGAATAAAAACATTCAATCTAAAATAAATAAAACAAAACTTCAGAAGTTACAGAATACGAAATAAAAAATCTGACTTTATGTTTTCAGTCATGAGATTTATTTATATGTTATGCGATCTGACACAAAAATTTATGTAGAAATTCTATCATAAAAAAATGTGGAGATTACTCATTTTTTTAAAATTCAAAAATTGTATTCTTTATAATTTTAATTTTAAAATTTGATTTTTTTTGGTATAAAAGTTTTGATAAGAATGTATAAATTTTTTTCATGAATAAAGGGTTTTAATATTGATAAAAGGTAATTTGATTCAAATAAATAAATAAAATTAACTAAATAAATGGCTTAAAAACTAGTGCACAATATTGAAAAGCCCAAGAGAAAATTGTTATAGAAATGTCAAACAGCAATTCTGACTAATAAAAAAATCTCATGAACTTATCAAAAGCCATCAACATCTATCATCATGAACCAAAGTATTTTTTGTGATATACTGAAAAATTGATTGGAGCTTCATTATTAGACAAGCCTTGAGTTGTAAATATTCAGGCTTTTGCTATAAAAATGTTCTACTTTGCAAGTCATTTATAGCAAAATTTTATGTGAACAACATTTCTAAAGTAAAGGACATTACTACTTACAATTATATTATTAAATAAGTAAAAACTTTAAAAAGTTACTTATCGATTGTGTTTTTAGCAATAAATCCTTGTACTGAAATAAACAATAGCTCAATTAACCTTCTATCAGATTATGAATTATTCAGTTGCTCTTTGACCAAAGGGCAGATGGTAAAAGATAAGTACATGTTTTTTAAGCTAAACCAAATTGTATAGCATTATGCCAGTTGCTTAGCCAACTTGGCTTTACAAAAAAAAATAAATAGTTCAGTATTTGGAATTGGGATGAAAATAAAAGTTGGCTTTGTTTGTATTCAAATTCTATTTTTCTGCTATTAAGTAGAATAATTTAAAAAAATGATAATTGTTCATATAAAACAAAGTAAAAAATAAGGCACAATAATTTAAGCATGAATACCATTAGTACTACTATTAATCATACAGTCCTCTGTTAATCAAAGATAATATATTGACATCTATTTAGTAAGCTAATAGTAAATAGGCTCTGTGGCTGCTGCCAACAGTGCAAGGCCTTATATTTGGCAATTAGGCTATTAGAGTTCATGTTTTGTTTTTAGGCACTGTGACTGGGCAGTGCAAGGCTCATAGCTGCTATAAGCAGTACAAGGACCTATTTAGTAAAGCAAAGATTCTCTTTATAGCTATGTAACAAGATGTGAATTTTTTATTTATGATGGAGCTTATAAAGCTTGTTAATAATAGCAAACAGAACCACTATATGATTCTTTGTGCAAATAAAGTCATCTGATCAAGCAATAATAATGACTAAAAAAATTAAAATTTCAATAATCATTTTAAGGGTCTCCATTATTTTATTTGACCTGAAAATTTTATTCTATTTTTTTTAAAGTAACTAACTTCTTTTATGCTAATTTCATAAGCAGTTGGTTCATATAATTGAACATTTAATTTTGTATTTTTAGTAATAATTTTTTCCAATAAGTTGGTACCTTCATTGTGCATATTAGTATAAAATATATTAAAGTCATTATATTCTCCTTTTATTTTGTCACTTGTTACATTTATATCTTGCTGAATTTCAAGGATTCTATTATCTATTTGCTCATCTGTATTACTTTTATTTTTGTAATCTAAGTTTTTGTATTAAACCTATAGATCATGTAAAATTATAAGATTTAAACATTTAAAAATGATGTACTATTTTTTTATCACATACCTTAATAGTTTCAGAAGGTGCATTTATAATATTATTTGCAAATAACTCCTAATCATTATTTAAATCATCTTTTGAGATATCTAAAAAACTTAATGAATTAACCTTTTCAACATTAACTTGATTACTTATTTCTTTAAAGGGATTATTTATAATTTTAGATATCCAAATTATTTTATTAAATCAATGATAAGATAATGTAGAAGACAGCATTCTGTTTACATTTATTTTATTGAATTGATCTTTAGAATCAAAAGAGACTTCTAGTAAAATTTTATTCAATAGAATATTATAAAATAGGTTACCAAAATAATTTATTGAATCTATTCTTCTTGTCAAAGGCCTGAAAATATTATGATAAGCATTTATCTTAAAATTTGAATAAATTTTTGGAAATTTAATAATATTGCTAATTAGGTTTCTATGTTCATATAATTTTAGAATAAAGAATAAATTAAAATATGATTTAGTAGAGAAGGTTGGAAGTTGAGATTTATTTGATACTTTAATACTAAAAGTATTGTTATAGGTTTTTTTTGATATTTTTTGTTTTATAAATTTTTTAGTATTATTTTGATAAGGTATTCCAATCTGATATAAATAGCATTTGAATCAGGTAAAAAAGAAAGCAATGATTTTCTTAGTGAAAAAGAGCTAAAACAATTGCACTAAAGTTTGTTTCGATGACAATTCTATAATTTTTTTATTGCTCACAAAATTATTATTTTGGTTTAAAAAATTAAAATGCATTGTATCTTTATAAATCAGATAAGATTCTTTATTAGTGAATGGTCTGCTTTTGTTTATTTCTCTATTATTAGAGTTAATGTATTCAGGTTCATAGATAGCTATTGTAAATAATATAGAAAACACAATAGCAAGACTGGAAAACAACAAAAATGGAAATAGAATCAAATTATTCAATAATAAAATCAAAGATGCAAAAATAAAGAAGCAAAAATCAAAAAAATACAAAAACTTAAGGCTCAGAAAATCAAAAAAATAAAAATATAGTGGTTGTATAGGCGATTTTTAGCAAAAGTGCTAAAAGCTTTAAAATATCTCTTGACATTTTGTAGTTTACAGTCAAAAATTGATAAGAACTAAAGTGTTTCTTTTAATGGTATTTTTTTATAAATGACTTGTTCAAATAAGGATAATTAATTATCTTTGTCACAGTCATTCATATTATCTATTTTACAAAGCATTAAAATAAAACTCCAAGTTATGTATAATTTATAGCATTTTATAATAACAATTAATAATATTAAAGTATAATATATAAAGCAGATCTGTTATGCAATTATATGCATTAAAACATATCAGATATCATAAAATTTTAATTGAAGAATTTTTTTAGTATAAAAATATGAGAAAAAAAATAAACATTACACAAGTTCCAAGAAAGGTGTAGGTAAACAGAAATTTATCTTTTGTTAAGTATTTAATGATATAAACAAAGGTTGAGATTTTAATTCTTCACATGCTATTGCAAAAGCTTTGTTCAATTTAGTTAAATTTTTTTTGTAAATGCATTTGTTCAAATCAGGAATAATTAATTTGTATTTAATTTAATTTGTGCTATCTTCACCATTGTCATTTGTGTTTCTTATTTTACAAATATTAAAATAAAACTTTGAGTTCTGTATGAATACAGCTATAATAACGATAAAGTTAACAATTAATATACATGTAATATAAATGCTAATCTGTTATACAAATATACATAATCTGTTTAAAATATATAAAAAGATGTAATTTTTTTCAAAATTATTTGTTTATATATATTAAAAATTAAATATTGAAAATGAAAGAACAAAATGTTCATAAGAAGTTTGACAAACTTCTTTTAAAAATTTTATTACATGTTAAAAGATGTGAAAAAATTCCTCCTCAAATTTTGTACTTGCAACAACATTTTGCTTTTAGTATTAATTATTGAGGCTATTGTCATATTAATGCTTTGGCAGTAAAGTATATTTTTCATTTTTCAAATTAATAAGTAGAAGATCAAACTGATCTTTATCAATTATTATCTAGAGTAAAAAAACATTCATATTTGTATCCTGATCCTTATGAGCCAATTGTATATAAAACTTACAGTATCGACTAATTTGAACCTTGGGATATGCTTATAATATAAAATATACCAAATATGAAAGATTTTTTTGCTATGATGATGGCTGAAAGTCATAGATTTGGCATCTAGATTATGATAAGTCTGTGCTATACTAAAGTCAAATAAAAGCACTTCACTGATTTATAATCAATTATTGTAAAGGTTTAAAACAAAATATTTTATTTTTAATAATTCTATATTACCAAAAATTTTTTCAGCAATTTGAAATAAAAGTTATTGATCCTTTTAGTTTATTCATTTTTGGAATTTAATATAAAAGTTTGAAGATTTTTTGTTTTCTTGACACCTTTCTGTTTAAAAAAGATCCATTTATTTCATTTATTGCTGTTATTTAATAATTACATTATGAAAGATTCTGTGTAAATTCTGAACTTTTAATTATAATAAATGGATTATCTAAGTGTGATCTCTATTTAATAGATTGCATAAGTTATCCTAAGTACAGTATTGTATATTTACTGTAAGGTTCAATAATTTAGGGTCCTCAACTATAAGAGTATAAATTTATGCAAATTCAGGTCTTATCATATTTTCCGTAACATTATTTAAACAGATCTTCATCAATCTTTCTTCTTTATACTTTAACATTTGTTTTTTTTTTAGTGGCAAATTAATAGTTTTTTTTTATTTTTTAACTTTATTTTTTAAGACTACAAACTTCTTTGTTTACTGCAATAAATTTTATAGTAATGTCTTTTGAAACTAATAGAAAAAAAAACAAAAAAACTCAACAAACATTTATATCAATCATATTAAAAATAATCCAGTCAAACTGATTCAAACTTTGATAATTTCTAAATCAGATGATTTAAAAAGTTGGAAAATACATAATAAAATCATGCAAGAAAGAATAGAGCAACTTAAGATTGATATAATTTGGTCTGAATTTTATAGCAGATTTTATCAATTATATTATTTGTATAACTCTTTTAAGAATAAAAAGTTTACATCAGAGTATGAAAAAAATAAAGAAATAAATAGAAAGCTTAGAGAAACAATACCATCCTCTAACAATCTTAATTCAGAAATGTCTTGTTGGAGGAAATTGTATGACAACTTCAATTTAATAATAGATAGTATATTCTATGAATTAGAAATCTGAATATTCA